CTGAGTGTGAGTAAATAACAATCTGTGTCGACCGTGTAGATAGACGGTGAATCATAGATTAAACAGCGGCTTCAATTCTGCGCGTGTGTCAACGTGCATTAACACTTTTAATCCAATTCATTAAACGAAATAATTAACCTCATTAATTTTGACAGCCCTAATCACGAGCATTAGTTGGCGTTAATCTCCCTCAGCCATTACGTTTCTGACTCTTCAGTTTGACCTTGTGCCTGTAAGAGTCCATACAGTAGTGGCTGTGGCTGGAGATGAACGTCTCACATACATACATGCCCTTTAAAGTAGAACCACAGTGAGCACAGCCTACCTGTTTGGAATCAGATGGCTGGCTCTGTGCTCTGCTCCCAGGAACAAGGCAAACCACGTGTGATTGACTCAAGGCTACCTGTCCTGAATGAAACACAGCGTGTGCTTCTGCTGTGCTGTGAATGCTGATGTGCCAGAAACAAATGACTTCAGAGAACCTGTAACGCACCTCCTAATATACGCTTTGAGGCGTTACGAGCTACACTTTTACACTTTGTACTCAGAGTCTGAACATTCAGGTCCTATTGTGGGAAGTGTTGTTAAAGAAGCTGCCACCTTGTGTTATACTAGAACACCTCTCAACTGCAACTTCCAGACTAAGCCACTCTCACCTCGTCTGTAAGTTAAAGCTGGCGCAAAACAAATGAATCATTACGTTTGTTGTGCTGGTATTCTACAAAGATTTCATACTGCTTTAATCTGTTTGTTTTTTTTAAATATATTTTTTCAAATATTTTAGAATATTATCACCCAGTTCTTTGGTTATCCAACTCATGTCCAAATTTAATTAATTCACTTATCTTTTTGGGGATTTAGGTAAAATCCCAGGTTTTGGTGAATTAAATGTATCTAAAAACAATGTTTTAACAAAGTTAAATAAGCCCCAGGGTCAGTGAGTCTCTCTTTAAGTTAAACGTTTCTATTCAGTGAGGAAGGGGAATGTCCGTCTCCACTGTCTGATTCTCCTCTTAATGATATAGAACGGAGCTTGGGATTGTTCTGCTGAAAAAAAACAACCCTTTTACTTCCTGGGCAAAGGCAGACATCATCTTGACAGGACTGTATAGTATTTGCATGGCAGTGTTGAAGCAGAGGCTTCCTCTTTGCGTGAAAGAGTATTAAGGAGAATTATTGATGTTGCAGGCGTCAGTGATTTCCCAGAGTGGTCCTGAGCCTTTATATCTGTGCCGTTGTCTTTGCAGCCTGAGGGTTAAAGGTCAGCAGCACTTTCACCTCTTGCCCTGCACTGTACTGTATGTGCACAGACTTTTGCTGATGCCCTAAATCTTTCATTGTAAAGGAATTTTTTATTTGCATGTACTTATTGTGTGGAAAAACACAGACCAAATCACCATGAGTGGCAGTTCTGTTTGTATAAAATTTCTAAACATCTTTGCGTCTGTCATATTTTTTGGTGCTTGTTGCAGGCTTTCTATATGACATTACTCTGTTTGTATATATAAACACCATCAATTTGTTCTTTCCTTTCTTCCTTTTAAATCATTGAATGCCAACCAGAATTTAACCAAATGTAGAAAATGTGCCGTTCTTTTCTTACTAATCTTTTCTGGAAATAAAGTTTGCATATTAAATGTTGCGACACGTCTAACAAAACAGCCAGAGATAATATATTTGATCTGAAATTCATTCCTTTTTCCACCAACTTAAATACATCATACTGCGGCAAATGTGTTAACACACCAACTGGTGTCATTCGAGGTAACGTCTTTGTTTTACAGGTTTCTTCCACTGTGAGATTTAGTTGTTTGTTGTGTAGACCTTGTTACCGCCGAAGTCACTCTTCTGTTAAAAGCCAGGATAGATAAACTCTGTCACTGATGATGCCTGTTGTCATCTTTTCACTGTCCTTGCAAAAATTGTTTTTTTTTTCTTCCCCTGCAGCTACTTTGACAATATCCTTTCTTCTTTCCCTTTGTTTGTTGTCAGTGCTTATTAAGATGAAAGGCAGTTTTGATGTTTTGTTTTGAAGTCCAGACTGACCAAACACCACTTACCCACATAAAATAGATAAATATATAAAAAATAACATCTGGTTTCAGCCCCCCCCGTGTCCTTTCTATGCAGATCAAAGTGACCAAGTTCAACGACAAGTGGACCATCGACGACTTCAGTTTCGTGAGGAGTCCGTCAGCTTCCCCATGAGTTCTTCTGTCTTCTCTGGAGCCGGTGGCCCGGTCAAGCGGTACCTAAACACACCTGCAGTGTCTCAGCATAATGTCCAGATTGAATACAATTGTGTGCTAACTTTTATCAACTTCCAGGTACATTGTCTTTTGTCTTCTACCCCGACTGCATTGTGTTCAGAAAGTAACCGTTGTGTTTTGTTTTCACGGTTGAATGGAGAAAAATCTGCTTCTTTTCTCCTCACATTTTAGCCTCAAGAGGCAACAGAACATGTTTACAACTGATTAATATCAATGCGAGCTCGCAAAGACTTTTAAAGTCCACTACACACTTACTGTATCTGTGTGGAGTTACAACCACAACAGTAAACTTTCAGCAATTTTTTTTTTTTGAGAGTCCGTGAAGGATTTTATTTTTTATTTATTTATTTTTTTTCTGAAACTGCCTCCATACGTAGCACATGGAACTGAGGTGTTTGCGTCTGTGGAAGTGGAATAAACGTTAGATGCTCCTAGAATGATTTCAACTTGCTTTGGAAACTCACAGCAATGACAGTGTGTCTGGGTAGAAAAAGAATAGTTGTTTATTTGCAACTTTTTAGTCCAGGATATGGACCAAGACGAGCAGCAGAGAAGGAAATAAAATAAGGTTTTTGGATTTTGGTTGTGGACTCCTCAGTGTCTTGGAGATCCAGAGCAGTGTCTGACAGTGGCCACTGCATAATTAGGTATATGGAATTTTAAAAGTGTACATGAAAGTATACTCTGACGTATACTGTATTTGACGTTTCCTTTAATCACAAGGATCCAAATTGTGGCAAGAATCACATCGAATCGTTTGTTAGTCTTGTTTAGTAATTTACAAACACATTATTTAAAAGAAAAACACAAAATACAAAATTTAAATATTTTTCACTGAACATCATTTTCTTTTAGATCCTCCCCCCTGTGTATTAAATAACTATATAAATATCAAATTGCTCAAACTCTTAAGAACTGGTGTCTTAGTTTTTTTGTTTTTTTTCCTAAGACTGCTCAATACAAATGAACCCTGTGAAGCAAATCATCCAAATTGTGTTACAGTGGCAGTAACTCTACCCGTTATGATCAGGTACCATTGTTGTTCCTCGCCGTACCAAAGCAGATGTTTTCTCATTTCTTGGTGTGTACACTGCAGCCGTGAATGTTTTGCTGTTGGCAGCGCAGACTGTGCCAGTTCATCACAGTTACTGGCAGTGAAATATTGGCATGTTTTTATGTTGCTATGTTTGGTCCGAAGTGTTGCATGGCAGCTGTCTCTAATGGTGTGAAATTGAAGGGGGGCTTATATTATGAGGAGTAAATAAACAGAGTATAATTCAGTAAAAATACTCTTCTGAGTACTACCTTAATGCACACAATAAAAATTAGACATCAGACATTATTTTTCTCTCAATGGCAAACGGCTCATCAGGCTGTATATCATGGGTGTCAAACTCCTGGCCCGGGGGCCAATATGGGCCAGTTAAACCCCAAAACCTGGCCCGTGACTAGATGTCAATAATACTTTCATTTTGCCCTTGAGGTCATTTTTTTTCCCACTTTTTTCTATCATTAAAAGGCTTCAACTGTTTATTCAAGAACAAGAAAAAACACTGCAGTATAGTAAAGTATTAAATATAGTATATTAAACAAAAATACTTTTTAAAAAACATCTTTAATTTCTCTTGAACACTGATGTGGTTCTCCAATGAAATGCTAGTTGCAGTGGTGGCCCTTAACTCATTAGAGTTGACCTTCGAACCCCAAACGTTGTGATAATGACAGTGTGCTTCCAACAAAGCTACCTCTGACTCGGTAACATTAGTTCTCAGCCAATCACAGCCTACTAAGGTACTGAAGTTTTTTCAGCTCTAAACTAACTAAAAAGTTGATGTTGTGAAATTAAAACTCCTATCACACCTGAGTCTTTGGGGCTAGTGGAGTTTGTAAATGCAGGAGGAGGTATGTCTAATACACCAAGTGTGTCTAATAATGTGGAGTATTGATAGCCATATGGGCCTGTGTAATCACTGCCGGTTGGATTCATTTCTAGTAAATATATAATTCAAAGCAGCGTGGCGCAATTTTGATTTTAATTAAAAAAGACCAAACCTTTTAGAAGACTTCTTCTGCCTCTCTCCTCATTGATGAATTGGAAATGAATGTGCTTCCAATTCCTTCTTTTTAATTAGGTTATGTTATTGGGAGGAAAAGCAAACTTGTGTGGAATTGAATTAGCGGAGGCCAGATGTGACCGCTTCCTGGTTATCAGCCTTTTTGGCTGCCTCCTCTCTCCCAATAGCCTGCAGCAGATACTGTACAGGAAGTGTGGAGGAGGGAAGACGGTGCGGTTGGGAGGTAGCGGGAGAAGACAGGAGGAGAGGTGGGGCGGAAGTGTGTTTGAGTCTGAGGCATGTGCTGTAAAACTGTGTACAACCCCCTGCGGTGCAGCTTGTGCAGAAAAGGGAAATATTTTTTTCTGCTCAGAAATATTCCCTAATGTGAACTTGCCATCCCGTCTCCTGTGTGTGTTTTACCTCCCTCATTTGCTCACCCACGCCTCCCTTTTCTTTTTATCTCACAATCACAGTGTCACTTTTCTTTCCTTTTATCCTCTTTTAATCTACCTCATTCTCATGAAGTTGAAATATATGCAAATATGCAGGCTCATGTAAAAAAAATCCATCTATCTCCTGCCTTTCTGCTGACTGTAATACTGTCCTTTTTACTGGTGGCGTTTTACGGTGTGACTTCATCGCTTTACCATTTCGTCAGCACTGTGTCGCAGAATGACCTCCGAAAATCCGGAATATGGGAATCAAGTGTTCAGAATCCCATTTTCAAACCCCCTCGCCTCCCCCCCGTGTCTCGAGGGGCTGTTGCCTTTAAACGATATGTTCTACAGTGCTCACCCCGTCCCATTTTTCCCCCCGCCAAATGCCCTCCTCAAATCTTCCCACGATTCCCCCAGGGAGACCTGGTTCCTCCACTGTGGTTGCCCTCTCATACGGGAAAATTACCCAGCTGCCAGTATATTGGTGACAGTTTAGTGAACATGCCATCTAAGAATATGGCTGCAAAAATTGGTTCTGGATCATTTAGAATCCAATTTAATCCAGGCCTCTAGGAATGAAGGCCAAATAAAAACAAAGTGCCTTAATTAAGAACGCTGGGCGACTGTGGACTGTTTATACGGCCAGTCGATGCCGAGCTTCAACACAATTCATGTTTCCTTGAAAATCGGAATAGATACGACTATTAGTGAGCAAGAAGTAAAGAAATGAAGGTTTTGGAGAGTGAGCACAATGAGAAAATATGTGCATTTTTTTTTCATTGACAAAAATCCAGACTATGTTTAAACCATATTTCATTGTTGAATTTAAGGTAGATATTTATATGTCTTATGTGTAAAAAGCAAGTGCTCCTTTATAAGGGAATATATGACTGGGATGCTCTAGTCACAGACAGGATTTCTGCAACAGTGGAGGTGTTTGAGCCACACTGGAATATAAAAGGTATTTTGGGTACGTGGGTACATTTCTGATGTTTTTTTTTAAATTGGTATATACTGTATATTTGCACAAATATACAAAAACTGCACACGCTAATATGTTCTAGTTATCAAACTAGAGTGTATTAATGAACCAATTTCTAAACTGACAAATACATTTAAATTGTTCATTAAAAATGTTTTTTAAACAGATTCATTTCATGAGCAGTATTACTTCTCAGGTTTAGGTTTTTATTGCTCTAAGTTTAGAAAGTGGACTAAATGAGAAGTACATACCAGAGTGATATTTTAAGATACCCTTAGACAGATTAGATTAGATTGAACTGTATTGATCCCACACTGGGGAAATGTATGTGACTCAGGGATGTCGGATAATTTTAGCATCAACTGTGATTGTTAATTTTCCTCCTCAATGTTCCTGACGATGCATATGTTAGCCTGTGTGCATGTTGACATTCAAAGTATTTGCTGCAGTAGTTGTAAAAGTAGCCATAAATACAGAGAGCACACACAGGCTGTGCTACGATGGCAGATTTTGACGAGCCAGGTCTGATATTACCTGATGAAACGGCCCATTCGCATCACTCAGCCCTTAATCCCTCACTGGAGAGAGTCCGTCTGGTCTCCAGATCCTGGAATGGTCTGCATCAGCTAATGGAGATAAATTCAGGCAGTAGTGGCAGTGGCGTTCCACAGCCCTCCTCCCTACACCGTACTTCTGTACTCTCAGCTTAGCCACATCATTCCTCTCCCTGGCTTAATGTGCTGGTTCTCCTCTGTGGCTGTGGGGTAGGTTGTAACTTGTCTCTTGACACTTTCTGCTGTCTCCTCTTTTTTTTTGTGCCAGTAAAAACAGCTGCCCTCCTGCAGCCTCCTGCTCTGACAGCTCGCAAGGAAGAGATGGAAAGTTCTCATCTTTTGCTGCAAGCTGTTTCCTGTTCACAATAGCCCCCTTGTTAAGCTGCCCCTACGGACAATGATTTTTGTTGCGTTGTAGTCAATAGCTAAGTGTGTGGATGTGTGTATGAGTCGGTCAGAGGATCTTGTTACAGCTGTTTTTTTAGTTGAAGATTCTTGTTTTTTTTCTGTTAATTGAAGCTCTGGCGGTGAGCTTGTCTGCAGTAACTGATGGAGGTGAGCTGGTTCTCAGAGTGAACCACGGCTAATTGTGGAATCTATTGGTTAGTCTTTTCATAATCAGATAATATTGACAATGGTAGAAAGGATGTCAATAGACATGTTTGTGCTCACAGTCATTCGTGGAGCTCAGACTTCCGTACGGATTAGATTTCTTCAGTGTCATATTTATGTGTCAGACTGTTTTACACGAGCTAATTTGTACTAGCATGTACAGTAGAGGAGAGGAAATAACACTGTATATATGGGCAGTACATACTGTAGATATCAGTAACTGGATGGAGACTCTGTTTCCTTTTCCACCAGTAGGTGGAGCGTGTTGGGGTGGGGTTATGGTATGTAAATGTGCTCTGTTGGTGGTAGTGTTTAGGTCAGGGATTCAGCTTAACT